GTTCTGGTATCACTGGCACCAGATACAGGGTTAGTGTAGGTGGTAGCATTAGCACCAGTCCAAGTACCAGTAGTGGTGGTGTAAGGAGTCGGGACTTCAATGATGACGGTGGCAGTTTCACCGGGTGGAGCAATCACAGTAGTAGTGCTTTCAACTGAACCACTGAAGTAAGAAGTTACGGTGGTGGTAGGTACTGGAACATCAATAACTACGGTTCTGGTATCACTAAAGTCTGAAACTGGGTTGGTGTAAGTAGTGGCATTAGCACCAGTCCAAGTACCAGTAGTGGTAGTGTAAGGAGTTGGGACTTCGATAATAACAGTTGCAGTTTCACCTGGTGGAGCAATCACAGTAGTAGTGCTTTCAACTGAACCACTGAAGTATGAGGTAACAGTGGTGGTTGGAACTGGAACATTGACAACAACGGTTCTGGTGTCACTAAAGTGTGAGACTGGTTCAGTGATAGTAGTCACATTGGAACCAGTCCAGGTAGCAGTGGTGGTAGTATAAGGTGTTGGAACTTCGATAATAACAGTTGCAGTTTCACCTGGTGGCATTGTAACAGTTGTAGTACTTTCAACTGAGCCACTGAAGTATGAGGTAACAGTAGTAGTTGGTACTGGGACGTCAATAACAACAGTTCTGGTATCACTGGCACCAGATACAGGGTTAGTGTAGGTGGTAGCATTAGCACCAGTCCAAGTACCAGTAGTGGTAGTATATGGAGTTGGAACTTCGATGATAACAGTTGCAGTTTCACCGGGTGGAGCAATCACAGTAGTAGTGCTTTCAACTGAACCACTGAAGTATGAGGTAACAGTAGTAGTTGGAACTGGAACATCAATAACGACGGTTCTGGTATCACTAAAGTGTGAGACTGGATTAGTGAAAGTGGTAACGTTAGCACCAGTCCAAGTACCAGTAGTAGTAGTGTACGGAGTTGGAATCTCAATAATAACAGTAGCGGTTTCACCAGGTGGAGCGATGACAGTGGTAGTAGAATCAACAGATCCGGTATAGATTGAAGTAACAGTAGTGGTTGGCACAGGAACATTGACGACAACGGTTCTAGTATCACTGTAAGCAGATGGAGGATTGGTAATGGTAGTCACGTTTTCCCCAGTCCAGGTAGCAGTGGTAGTAGTGTAGGGAGTTGGAACTTCGATAATAACGGTAGCAGTTTCACCTGGTGGCATAGTAACAGTACTGGTTGTATCAACTGAGCCACTGTAGTATGAGGTAACAGTAGTAGTTGGTACTGGGACGTCGATGACAACAGTTCTGGTATCACTAAAGTGTGAAACTGGATTAGTGAAAGTAGTGGCATTAGCCCCAGTCCAAGTGCCGGTAGTGGTAGTGTATGGAGTTGGAATCTCAATAATAACAGTAGCGGTTTCACCAGGTGGAGCGATGACAGTGGTAGTAGAATCAACAGATCCGGTATAGATTGAAGTGACAGTAGTAGTAGGAACTAGAACGTTAACTACTACGGTTCTGGTGTCACTGAAATGGGAAACTGGTTCGGTGATGGTAGTAACATTGTCTCCGGTCCAGGTAGCAGTGGTAGTGGTGTATGGAGTTGGAACTTCAATGATAACTGTAGCGGTTTCACCAGGTGGCATAGTAACAGTACTGGTTGTATCAACTGATCCACTGTAGTATGATGTAACAGTAGTAGTTGGAACCGGAACATCAATAACGACAGTTCTGGTATCACTGGCACCAGATACAGGGTTAGTGTAGGTGGTGGCATTAGCACCAGTCCAAGTACCAGTAGTGGTGGTGTAAGGAGTCGGGACTTCAATGATGACGGTAGCAGTTTCACCGGGTGGAGCAATCACAGTAGTAGTGCTTTCAACTGAACCACTGAAGTAAGAAGTTACGGTGGTGGTTGGAACTGGAACGTTGACAACAACGGTTCTGGTGTCACTAAAGTGTGAAACTGGTTCGGTGATGGTAGTCACATTGGAACCAGTCCAGGTAGCAGTGGTAGTGGTGTAAGGTGTTGGAACTTCGATAATAACAGTGGCAGTTTCACCTGGTGGCATAGTAACGGTAGTTGTGCTTTCTACTGAACCACTGAAGTATGAGGTAACAGTAGTAGTTGGAACTGGAACATCGATAACGACAGTTCTGGTATCACTAAAGTGTGAAACTGGATTAGTGAAAGTAGTGGCATTAGCCCCAGTCCAAGTACCAGTAGTTGTGGTATATGGAGTTGGAATCTCAATAATGACAGTGGCAGTTTCACCTGGTGGAGCAATCACGGTAGTGGTACTATCTATTGAGCCAGTGTAGATTGAAGTGACAGTAGTAGTAGGAACTGGAACGTTAACTACTACGGTTCTGGTGTCACTGAAATGGGAAACTGGTTCGGTGATGGTAGTGACATCTACACCAGTCCAAGTAGCAGTGGTGGTAGTGTAAGGAGTTGGGACTTCAATGATGACAGTGGCGGTTTCACCAGGTGGCATAGTGATGGTACTGGTAGTATCAACTGATCCACTATAGTAAGAAGTAATAGTAGTAGTTGGTACTGGAACATCAATAACTACGGTTCTGGTGTCACTGAAATGGGAGACTGGTTTAGTGGTGGTACTAGGTCCAGTTCCAGTCCAAGTACCAGTGGTAGTGGTATAAGGAGTTGGAATCTCAATAATGACAGTAGCAGTTTCACCAGGTGGAGCAATGACAGTGGTAGTAGAATCAACTGAACCAGTGTAAATAGAAGTAACAGTAGTAGTAGGAACTGGAACGTTAACTACTACGGTTCTGGTGTCACTGAAATGGGAAACTGGTTCGGTGATGGTAGTAACATCTACACCAGTCCAGGTAGCAGTGGTAGTGGTATAAGGAGTCGGTAACTCGATTATAACAGTAGCAGTTTCACCTGGAGTAGCAGTTTTGGTAGTAGCAGAACTAAAAGTTTCAGTCCAAGTAGTAGTGATAGTAGTGGTTGGAATTGGAACATCTACTACTAAAGTAGCAGTACCACCTGGGGTAGCAGTTTTAGTAGAACTTGAGGCATAAGATTGGACCCAAGTGGAGGTGGTAGTGACAGTTGGAATTGGTAAGTCAACGATGACAGTAGCAGTTCCACCAGGAGTGGCAGTTTGAGTGAAGATGGAAGAACCAGAATTAGTCCAAGTGGAAGTAATAGTGGTCGTTGGAATTGGTAAGTCAACAATCACAGTAGCAGTTCCACCAATTGGAGCAGTCTTAGTGCTAATTGAAGAACCAGGACTAGTCCAAGTAGAAGTCACAGTAGTAGTTGGAATTGGAACAAACACAGAAACAGTACCAGTTTCACCCGGACTAGCAGTTTTAGTTGTCTGAGATATAGTTGAACCTGTCCAAGTAGCAGTTACAGTAGTAGTTGGGATAGGTAATTCCACAATAACTGAGGCTGTAGCACCAGGAGTAGCAGTCTTGGTGGTAATAGCAGAACCAGGATTAGTCCAAGTAGTAGTAACAGTAGTAGTTGGAATTGGTAATTCAACAATAACTGAAGCAGTAGCACCTGGAGTGGCAGTAACAGTAGTTACAGATGAACCAGAATTAGTCCAAGTGGTAGTAGTTGTAACAGTTGGAATTGGAACATCAACTTCAATAGTTTTAGTCTTTTGTGTAGCACTATCAAAAGGTGAAGTAGTAACTCTAGTAGTAGAACCAGTCCAAGTCTTAGTCACAACAACTACGGCTTGACCATTAGAACCAGTATCGGAATTCAGGTATGAAGTCCAAGTCAATGCTTGAGTTGAAGATCTATATTGACCATTCTTACAAACAGCTGTATTAGTATAAGTAACTTGAGCTGCGGTGTAACCACTGGAACTATCATACTTAGAAAGTCCACTCATATAAACTCTATAACCGGTAGGAACATTGGAAAAACTGATAACGAAACCTTTGGAAGTACAACTTCCACTATAAGTGAAGGAACTCAACGACTTAGGGGAAAACCAATCATTGACGTCATTGGTTATACCGACTTGGAAGGAGCTACAATCAAAGGTTTCCGATAAAAGCGTCATTCCAAGGGTACCTGAAGAAATCCCATTACTACAACTTTCACCAAGAAGGAAATCTTGATTTTCATTGAAGGATGGAACAGAACGACGATTAAAGTAAATTTCATCAGTTCCGGTACTAGATCTGGCAGTAGCTGGGGAGAAATTGACAGTGGTGGAAAACGAATTCGCACCATCATCAAAAGTAATCGTGTTAGTACCAGATTTATACTGACTTGCACAAGATAAATCAATAGAATTAGCACTATTACCAGGATTAAAGGCAAAAGGCACTGAAACAGTACCTGAAGCATCAGTATTGGATTTAACATTGGTAGTAGCAGTACATTGTAATTGAGAATATGATACCACGATTTCCCCACTAACCAAATTACAAGTAGCATAAGTAGTGGAACCTACAGCTAAATTTACAGTTGAACTTGATGAAGTGAACTTGAAAACACATGGAAGGTTTAATAAAAAAGTATCACCAGCAGCCAAATTATTATTTTGGATAGCCCAATTGACAGTAGCTAACCAACTTGGAGTGATAGGATAATTATTACTGTTTTGAGCCACAATACTACTGACACCGGTAAAAATTCCAGTAGTAGCTTTTGCAGCTATGACATTACACAAAAGTAACAATTGGATAATCCACAACATGTAATTAGTAAAGATTTCATGGGGATTTGGTCATTTTATACTCAACATGAAAAACTCTATGCATCACAGACAAGATTTTTTGCAAAAATTTTTATTTTTTTTAGGTGAAATTTTCTATATTTCGTAATGAGATAACGGTCCAGAGGAAGTAAGATATGGTAAGAACCTGTTTTTATCGGGGAAGTAGAGTTTGGGCTGGATTAAATTATGAGATGGTGGAAGAAATCATCGATTTTAATGGTTTAAACGATGATTTCGTATCAATTATCATCAATTATCTTCAATAAGCTTCCTTAAACCTTTACGTATACCCAAGGGCCATGCGATGAGTCGTCATGTATCACTTAACCGTTCATAATTCTAACCTGCAAGGCAGGTTAAATAACCTCAGGCGATTGCGGATTATTTTTAGACTATCAATTAAAGTATTTTTACGAAATATACGAGTTTAACCATGAAATAAACGTTAACTTTGATCTGACCATATTAACAAAAATTTTTATTAGTACTCTAATAACCTCATATTGACGACCCATATTGTAATGACAGTCAATTTTCATTAGAAGATAGTTTGACAGTTGAGAACAACATGTCTCAAACTATATGTACACCGTATTACCGCATGTAGAATTTAGAAAATTGTTTAAAAAAATACTTCCATGCAGGTGGAAAATAACACAAATGCCTTAACAGTGGAAAAAGTTTAGATCACAAATAAAGTTTTGCAATTGTTCACCATGAGGAGTAGATTGTAAATAGAAGGCAACGACCTACATTAGAAAGGGTTTCGTACGGTAAAAGTCATTTTGAAACAATGAGATTAAATATGGCAAAAAGTCACATGGGAATTTCGCCTAATTGGGAAAGTGATAGAGATGCGGGAATGACCGCATGTTTCCATACATCGCTTATGCATGGCGGATAAATTAAATTTCAATGATAATTAACTTAAACAGGAATTAAACATGGTTTCTAGAAACGAATCAGGAGAGTTTATAAAAAATAATGGAAAAATGAGGTGACTACCAGTCATTTAGTTGGTGAGTTATAGAGAGTAGATAAGGAAGAAATATATATTTCTAATCACTAATACCTTCATAAGTAACAGTTGCTGGAGCAACAGTTAAACTGGATACTAATGATACTAAGGCTACTAAAACAATTTCAAACTTCATGTTGATTGGGGGTTGGATTTTGTCGTGGGGGAATTAGTCTCATTAAATAGGAGGTGGATGGTTAAAAAATTTTGATGGCCGCACTGTGCGTTATGGGATGAGTTTAACATTATTTTTTTCAACGTTCATACAAAATAACGGGGAGATTAATGATGTAAACGCCCTAAAATATATGACTATCTGACGTACTAGTGGTTATTATTAATGTCATTAAATCATTGACTCAACGGTTCAAATATCTATCCGTGGGTAGTTAGTATCTGCAAATATTATTATGTCAGCTGCGGATTGCCAAGGGTAAGGAATTCCAGGCCTTTCTGGTGTAATGATGTAATGCACGTTTAAAAACTTCGGATTTTAAGGTTAGGGATTGGCTATTGATCTTGGTTTAGAGTATTGGCATGGCATGGCTTATATGACATTTACGAGAATCGAGGCCTGTGATTGGATGAGGCCATTGAAAGTGAAATTAAAGGAGTTAAAGTTGAATCACCGGACCATAGTGGGCCACAGTCATTGGTGGCTTTGCAATGTGAAGACCTCTGCACTCAAATATTTCAATTGACAACTGTCATGGAGTTAAAAATTGGACAATACGCCGATATGAAGTCATCATAGATGAGGATACGAAGACAATGGAGCGGACATGGTATGAACTTTGGACTTATGCAAATCCTCTTAAAGTTACCAGGTGGTGTGATTGACTCACAGTGAGGTAATGATAATTACGCTAAAAACCAACAGTCACTGGACTGACTTGGGTCGTGGATATCAGTAGGATGTCACCTGTTTGCGCTTAAGTGGTTGCGCTTCCATCGGAGAGGTTTTGTTTCAAGTGTTTGAGGTGAAACATAGAGAATGGGGGGTTGAGAAGTCCGAGAAGTTTCGGGCGTCCGATTACATTGCTACTTTTACTCTGACAGAGTTCTGATACTTCGACAAAGTTTTGGTAGTTCTACAGAGTTCTGGTAGTTCTACAGACCTCTACTGGACCACACACTACTACCATGTGGTGTTGGACCAATGTAAGCCGAATAACCTCTAAATCGAGGGATCAGTTGCCTCACAGTTTCCCAGTAAAATTCCCAAATTATAGGGGTAAACCTATAACTATTAGTCGAGACTTTTGCTTACCATAACCACTTGATTTCATAAGTTCTGCCACGCCTCTAATTCCTTGGATATCCAAAGTTTCGCCAAATTAAGCGAACTACGGCTCGTATAATAAGAATTTAACTTTACAATAAAAAAATTTAAAGTTTGAAACACAATAGGCGTAATAGCGTCATTTCTATACTGCTATTTTTACCTCTGTCCACTACCCAGGAAGTATATTTACTCAAATAGGACAATTGGCATAAAATATCTTTAGAACTAGAAAAACAGTAAGCAAGTTTATTTGAATAATGGTTATGCAAGTCATATGACTGATCATTACCATGGGGAGTATATTTACTCAAATAAGACAACCAGCCCAAATTATCTTTAGAATTTGAAAAACTGTTGGCCAGTTAGTTAGAAAAAAAATGTGTCGAAGTGAATCATATGACAAGTCATGTGATATATGCTCACCGGATAAATGGTATTGGGGTACTTCAGCTTAAGTCCGAGGTGCTTCCGCAGGAGCTTCCGGAGAGGACTGAATTTCAAAGTTGAGACTGTCAAGCCGGTTCTAGCGGTAGAAGTGCATTGAAGAGGGGATGAGACGCAGGACCAATCACTGGAACGGCAGGAGAAGAACGGTACGAGGAAAAGGTACGAGGAAACGGTACGAAGTAAAGAAACCTAAAATATATTACACTCTATGAAATTAAATAAACGAAATAACGATGGAAATGAAGACGAGGATAGATGGGATGGTGTTAGAAGAAGCAGCCCCCTGGAGGACGGCTGGTGATTGAGTTGGGGAAGATGAAGTGGCGATGGTGGTGAAGGAATTGGAACCGGCTGTAGTTGGGTCTGAATTTGAGCCAGAGCCATTGGAGTCTGAACCATTGGAGTTACCAGAATCATTTGAACCAGTACCAGTACCGGAACCAGTACCAGAAGTAGCACCAGAATTAGCACCAGAATCACTATCAGTACCAGTACCGGAACCAGTACCGGAGCCAGTACCATCAGAATTGTTTGATGAATCACCAGTACCAGAATTAGTACCAGAGTCATCTGAATTAGCATCTGAACCAGAACCAGAATCATCAGAACCAGAATCACCGGAACCAGAATCACCGGAACCAGAATCACCGGTACCAGAACCACTGTTGGAGCCTGAGCCATCAGTAGGACTATCGGAACCAGAATCAGAACCAGAACCATTGGAACCAGAACCATCTGAATCACTGTCTCCACCAGAACCAGAGCCATTACCACTACCAGTGTTAGAACCAGAAGGAACTGAACTGAGACTGGTGCTGGTACCTGTAGCAGGATCAGTAGGGTCAACTGGGTTGGCAGTGTTTGTAGAATCATTGCCAGTGTTAGTACCAGTATTAGTGGCAGTATTAGTAGGGTCAGCAGGATCAGCAGGATCGGTAGGATCAACAGGGTCAACAGGATCAACAGGGTCAACAGGATCGGTAGGATCAACAGGATCAACAGGGTCAGTTGGGTCAGCACTAGAACTCTCACAATCAGGACACTCAGTCGAAGTGGTACAATCAGGACAGTAAGAAGAGCTAGCACCATCAGAAGCCGAGCTAGGATCAGAAACTGAGCTGACTGTCAAGCTTACTGAGCCAGAACTTTCAGAACTTTCCGTAGTACTTGCGGTACCTGATCCAAATGGACTTGATGCGTCAGAACTAGGAATGTCGGAAACTGGTTCAAGGGAATTACTGACTGGGTCAGTGACCATGCTGGAGATAACGGAGATGGAAGCACTAGCACCAGAACTCTCGGTACTTTCAGTGGAAGAAACTTCAGTGGAAGAAACTTCACTAGAACTGTCACTAGCGGTGATAAGCTCTGAACTTGAACAGTCAGGACAAACACTGGATACTCCGGCCACCGATGAGTTGACGTATGGTGGGAAATAAGACGAGGAGTAGGAGTAAGTGTCAGAAACTGATGAAAGGGAAAGTGTTGGGAAAGCTGACGACTCTGAGCTTGAGGCTTCTGAGGAGGCTTCTGAGCTCTCTGAGGAGGCTTCTGAAGACGAAGGGTCTAAGGATTCTGACGATGAGGCACTGACTTCAGAAGAAGCTGATGAAGCTGGTGGTTCAGAAGAACTGGATTCAACGGATGATTCTGATGAAGCTGAAGATTCAGATGATTCAGCGGAGTCGCTTGATTCAGTGGAAGATTCAGTAGAAGATTCAGTAGAAGACTCAGTGGAAGACTCTGATGAGCTGTCTGGGCTTTCAGAACTCTCAGAGCTTTCAGAACTCTCCGAGCTTTCAGAACTCTCCGAGCTCTCAGAAGATTCTGAACTACTCGATGAGTCAGCCGAAGATTCTGAGCTTTCAGAGCTTTCTGATGATTCACTGGATGCTGAAGATTCACTGGCTTCACTGGAGGAATCGCTAGCTTCACTTGATGCTGAAGATTCGGAGGATTCCGAGGACTCAGACAGTTCGCTGGACTCAGACAGTTCGCTGGACTCAGACAGTTCGCTGGACTCAGATGATGCTGAACTATCAGAACTGTCACTGGCTTCACTGGATTCTGAGGATTCACTGGATTCACTCTCAGACGATTCAGAAGATTCTGAGCTTTCTGATGACTCTGAGCTCTCGGAGGACTCGCTTTCTGACGATTCAGACGACTCAGAAGACTCAGAACTTTCTGATGATTCTGACGATTCAGAAGATTCGCTGGAATCGGAACTTTCAGAACTTTCCGAAGATTCCGAAGATTCTGACGATGCTGAAGAATCTAAGGACTCAGAAGATTCGCTTGATTCGGAGGATTCGGAGCTTTCTGAGGACTCACTGGACTCACTGGACTCACTGGACTCACTGGACTCACTGGACTCACTGGACTCACTGGACTCACTGGACTCGCTGGACTCGCTGGACTCGCTGGACTCACTGGACTCAGAGCTTTCTGAGCTTTCTGACGACTCACTCTCGCTAAGGATAGCAGGAAGGTGAACTATCACTGTAGCTGTACCTCCTGGTGCTGCGGTGACAGTGGAAATACTCTCCTCTAATCCAGTCCAGGTGGTAGTAACCGTTACTGTGGGTATAGGAAGATTTACTACCACCGTTCTGGTATCACTGTACTGAGACACTGGCTCAGTGTAGGTGGTGGCATTAGCTTCGGTCCATGTGATTGTGGTGGTGGTATAAGGAGTTGGCACCTCGATAATGACGGTAGCAGTTTCTCCTGGTGGCATGGTGACGGTAGTGGTGGTATCGATGGAACCTTCGTAGTATGAGGTGACGGTGGTGGTAGGAACTGGAACGTTAACCACAACAGTTCTGGTATCACTGAAGTCGGATACGGGGTCTGTGTAGGTGGAAGCGTTAGCCTCTAACCACGTACGGGTGATGGTGGTGTATGGCGTGGGGACTTCGATGATGACGGTGGCTGTTTCTCCTGGTGGGGCAGTGACTGTCATGGTAGTATCTACTGATCCCTCGTAGTAGGAGGTAATGGTGGTGGTAGGGATCGGTTCGTTCACGATCACTGTACGAGTATCACTGAAGTCAGACACAGGTTCGGTATACGTAGTACCATTGGCCTCAGTCCAGGTACGAGTAATCGTAGTATATGGTGTAGGAACCTCAATGATCACCGTGGCTGTTTCTCCGGGAGGAGCTGTAACCGTCATGGTGGTGTCCACTGATCCCTCGTAGTAGGAGGTAATGGTGGTGGTAGGGATCGGTTCGTTCACGATCACTGTACGAGTATCACTGAA